ACAATGTGGCTGATGAGCCACACTCTGAAGACCTTCAAAAGAGTACTTGAAACACGACTTCGGGCGATCATAGAGTTGCCATCCAATCAGTGTGGATTTGTAAAGGGTGCCGGTGCTGCTGATGCCATCCATACTGTACGGGTAGTGACGGAGAAGTATAGAGAACGAAGAGAGTTTCATGCGGCTTTTCTTAATATGGAGAAGGCTTCTGACAAGGTCCTCTATGATGTCATATGGTGGGCACTGCGAAAACAGATGGTTCCAGAAGTATACATCCAATGGATAAAAATGATCTATCACGGAACCACGAGCCATGTGCAAACCGCGGACTGTCAAAACCATTCCGCATAAAAACCGGCGTGCATCAGGGATCGGTGCTTTCTCCTCTACTCTTCATCACAGTCATGGATGTGACGGAAGGTCTCAAGCGATAGCCTTCATGGGCTTACCTGTATGCAGACGATGTGGTGTGATGGACGAAAACAGCAAAGAACTTAAAGAAGAAACACAGAAATGGAAGGACCAATTAAGGTTGTATGGCTTGAAGCTCAACAAAAGGAAGACAGAATATGTGGAAGTGGGAGTCAAACTTCAGAAACCATATAATCGATGAGAAGCCAATCAAGGAAGCGAGTATCTTCAGGTACCTAGGAAGTTGCATCTCTGGCGAAGGAGGTCTTCAAGATGAAATATCTGCCAAGACAAACGCATCCTGGATGAAATGGAGGACCTTCACAGGAGTTCTATGCGACAAGCGAATGCCAGTGCAGTTCAAATCCCAAATATACCGTACTGTGATCCGTCCCACAGCGCTGTATGGCAGCGAATGTTGGCCCAGTACGCAAAGAACACAAGCTTGGTTTCATGAAGAAAAGAATGCTGCGTTGGACATTAAGTATCACCTTGTGGATCATGTCTGTAATGACACAGTTCGTGCAAGGATGAAAGTTGCTCCCATCGTTAAGAAAATGCAGGAAAATCGACTGCGATGGTACGGGCATGTGAGCAGAAGAAATGAGAACCATATTACAAGAATGGCCATGTCTCTGGAGTTTGCTGGAAAAAGACCACGGGGAAGACCAAAGATGAGGTGGATGGACAGCATCAAAGCTGACCTGAAAGAGCTTAGCATAGACAACATCATGCCTTAAATCGAGAATGCTGGAGAAAGTTGACTCGTACAGTAGACCCTGCGTAAGCGGGAGAAATGCGAAGATAAAAAAAGAAAAAAAGTGGTCGAAAACGAATTCCGAAGGGATGAAAGAAATGAAAAAACGTTAAGTGAGTCGGAGTCACTCTATATGATCACTACAAGTTCTCTGCTGTTATGAAACTTCCTAAAAAATAAAAAGCACTGGAGATGGTAAGCATCGCTTCGTTAGAATTCAGTTGGAATACGTGAGTATAACTTCAAAAACAAAACTTAATTTTACAGTATTAATTCGGAGAATTGTGTTTTTAGGCCTGTGGAAGATCAACAAAGATATTGCAAACTCCTGTCAGGT